TTTTTTTTTTTTGGTACCAGTGATCGAACTCGGGACCTTGTGCTTTTGAGGCAGGCACCAGAACCACTGAGCTAAATCCCTGGCCCAAGAATTTGAGTTTTAAAAATTTCTTCCAATCTTTGTTAAGTTTCTCTGTTAGGAGTATGAAAACAGGGCCAGGGATTTAGCTCAGCGACACTGTGTCTGCCTTGCAAGGGCAAGGTCCTGAGTTCAATCCCCAGTACCAAAAAAAAAAAAAGTATGAAAACATTTCTCTGATTTCTTTGATCTGAGTTTCCTTACAATAGCTGTTCCAAATTCTCTTGAGAGTTCTCCTATACCGCCTGCTCCATTTGGGTGCTTTGGGTACTAGGTGAGGGTCATGATTTCCTGAAAGCTCTTGATGCTTCTTGGTATGCAACACTGTCTGGGCATTGAAAAATTAGGTTTTTACTCGTCTTCTAATCTAGGTTTGTATTTGTCTTCCTAGAAATTCTAAGCTGGCTTATTTTCTGAGCCCATAGTCACTTCCACTACTTCAACATTAGATAAAGCCAGCCCCAGATCTGGCAGGAGTCTGTTATTGGTGTGCTGTTGCCACTTTTGTACTAGAGGGCACTCTAAGCCCAAGTACGTTCTAATATTCTGTGGATATGTTCTTCAGAAAGAAACAGTAGAGTACCTAAAGAGAGTAGTATGTCTCCACAAGCTTCTCCCTGGGGCCAAGATATTCTTAGATGCCTCAGCCACCATTACTGGCCTGTGGTTAGACATTGCAGGATTCTGCCTGGCCTGGAGCAATCACTGTGAATATACTAGCCCCTGGCTCCTATAACATAGCTGTTAAGCTCTGAGCCCACAGCCCACCAAGACCAGTACAGCACTGGGTCAAGTCAGGACCAAGGCCCATGCTTCTACGGGGTGTTTATTGCTGAGGTGGACTTGTGGCTCAAGACTGCTATAACAGGCCACAGGTGATGCTAGCTGGAATAGATGTCCAACTGACTGGGGCCATGTGTCTTTCCCTTGCACAGGAGCAGTTCCAGGCAAATTTAGGGATGGGTTCTGTTAGGATCTGCCTAGTGTTAAGTTTCACCAGCTTAGGACTAAGCCCCAGGGCAATGTATTTTGCTTATTACTCTGTCCTACCCCCAGCAAATGGGGTCTTGTACAAAGCTATGTTGCTTGAGGTTAGGATAGTGTTGGTGAAGGTAGACCTTGGTCACCTGGGCTGATGCTAAGCTGGGTTGTGACTGAGTGTTACAGCTACAAGGACCTGCAAGTCTCAGGGGTACACCAAGGCTCAACACAGCTAATGGCAATTCAAGCCAAAGTATCAGTCAGTCCCACTGGGGTGCAGATCTCTGCCTGGTGCCAGGGAAATTCTACAGTACCATCTGTGAACACTGGCTTGATGATAGCTGTGCTACCTGAGGTTACAGGATGGGTGGTAGAGATAGTTTCTTAGCCATCAAAGTTAGTATTAAAGCTAGGTCATATCTGAGCCTCACAGTTGCAGGGACCTACAGTCTCTGGAGAGTATGTCCTGGAATCACTCTAAGGTGGAAACTAAAGTCCAAAACTGAGGCCTGTCTCACAGGCACATAGCTCTCTGCCTGATACTGGAGCTGGTCTAGAAGCTCTGTCCATGAGCTCTTGCTTGCATGCAGGGCCTTCAGTTTCTACTGGGTGTCTGATTGCACTGTAGCAACCCTGGTACTAGGCTTTGAGATGAAGGTGTGCTAGTTTTGTGCCCTGCTCTCCAGTGGGTGGAGTCTCCACTGTACAGCCCCTAGTGGAGGAAGGGTGATGGAGGCAGTCAGCAGACTGGCCTAAATGCAGCTCAGTCTGCAAGCTCTGACTACAGATCAGCTCAATCTATAAGTACTGGCCTAGGAGTAGGGGGTATGGGACTTTTCACCATGGCACATCCAGTATTGGGTTAAGTCTAATGCCTGAATTTCTCTCCCTCCTCCAAGTGGGAGGCATTTCTCTCCATGCTAGGCTGCTTGGAGTTGGAGGAGGGGTGATATGGTCAATTCTTTCCTTCCTGCCTTCTTCAATGTGTCATTTTGTTATAATGCTAAAGCAGACACTATAGTTTCTCATCTGATCTCCTTAACCCTTGTGCTGTAGTTTGGGCCATAACTGTTCAACTTGGCGTTTCTGTGGGGGCAGATCCCTGGAGGCTCTTAGCTGCCAACTTGCTCTGCACACAGCATAAAGTCCTATCTTTTTTTTTTGGTACCAGGGATCAAACTGGGGACCTTGTGCTTACAAGGCAGGCGGCAGCAACACTGAGCTAAATCCCCAGCCCTAACTCCTATCTTTTTAAAATTGAAGTTGATCCTTCAATTTTGAATGCCATTCCTTTTTAAAACTGAAATGTACTTCATGAATACCAAATTTAAAAATAATTAATTAGCTAATTAGGCTTAAACACAAAGCTTTCTTAAAAGAATGCACTATTGGGCTGGGGATTTAGCTCAGTGGTTCCACCGCCTGCCTCGCAAGCGGAAGGACCCGAGTTCGATCCCTGGTACCAAAAACAAAAGAATGCACTATTGTTCATTGACTTCTAGCAAGAACATAAGGACCAGGATGTAGCTCAGCAGCACAGCACCTGCATGGCAAGCACAAGGCTCTGAGTTCGATTCCTGGTATCAGAGAAAAAAGGCCAAAAAAAGAAAAAACTACAAAGGCATTAAGTGTATTGCTGACCTTCAGTTTTATTTAAATATAGTGATCTTTTAAGAGAATAAACAACAGAAAAACTATACCACAAATATTCTACGTAAATGTAAACATGCATGTCTACTTCATAATTATGCAAAATGAACTTTAGAAACAAGATTTTTAAAATCATTAAAGGAGACAATGAACTCAAGACAGAAATGACAGAAGCAAATAAAACATACATTTCATAACATTTCAATTGGTCTTCCAATCTACCGGTTAAGGCCTGAGTTTCAGAAATCCTACACTCTTTGCCAAATGAGAATATCCACTTTGGCTGTACCTAATACATATATCCACATAACAAATAATTCTCTTTCAAAATAATGTAATAAATACATCACACACACACACACACACACACACACACTCACTCTCTCTCCTCTCGCTCTTTCCTGGTGAACCAGTATCCTGGTGACCCAGTGAAATAGGGAAATAAGGATTTCAAGTTTTCCTACCACTGAAGCATGCCACACATTGAAAAAAAAAAAGATTCTGCTACAGAAATGAGTGGCATTATTATACATCTCTATTTTATTTATGTTTCCCCAACACGTTTTACTAAGGCTTGCCATGGCTCCTCAGACATTTCAGATTTAGTCTTTGCACCTCACCTAAATGACTCAGTGCACCAGAGACTGCATAAAGTAAAGGCAATCTAACAGTTTAGTTAGAAACTTCAGCATGGATATATTCAGCTTTGTCCAAATGCCCGGGGTGCTTTCTCTGTCTAACCCCTCTACTTCACTGGCTAGTTTTCTCTGCCTCCTCCTCCACAGGCTATCAGCACATGAATGGCTAGTCCTGTGATGACAGCCCTTGCTATTACGGAGCTCATACCAACCAGAGTTCAAGTAAGAAAAGGGTCAGTTTGTACTCACGGGGCACTCCACATGGGTCAAAACAGAGCAAGAGTCCATGAAGACGGAACTACAGAACCCTGGACCTGAGGCTGGGAGTGGGGAGAAGGGAGCAGAGGAGACAGTGAAGGCACAGACACAGGAAGACAAATTCCAATTTAGCTGGCATGAATATACCTGTGAGGGTCATCAGGCCTCATTCTTGATTTCCAAAAAGAAAAAATTCCTAAATCTGTTGGGAGACAGAACCATGGAATGTTTTGTGTAGAAAACAAAAACCAGAGCTGTGCTACAGAATAACCTGGGTAGGACAAATGGCAGGGGAGAGGGGCTGAAGCTCAGAAAGCTTGATTCACCAAGTAGTGCCACATACAAGTATTTCCTATAGAAACAAACATCTTAACAGGCCAAAATCCACAGTTCCATCTACATCAAGGCTTGGGGATTGTGGGTAAATAGGTGTTTTAGTTCAAGTTCCTGGAACCTGCTCCAATTTGAGCAAGTTAAGAGCAGTGAAGTAATTCCCACATCCAGCAACAATTCAAGTCTCCAATTGTGACCTTTACCTTCCCTGAGCTACCATTACCACGGAATTCTAAAGCATTATAAATAAGTTCCTACCTGCCACCGAATCCATTGAGCCCTCATGATGGGCAAAGACCCCACCACAAGTACTAGCACATGCCTACCACCTACACTGGGGCAGAGTGCTGCAGGTGTACTGCAAGGCAACGGCTCCTCCTCCCATTTTGGCTCCCTGGAGTCACTATGTGCATGACGAACTCTCACCAAAGCCCCCCATCATGGACCATCCATTTCCTTTGTAGGTCCAGACTGTTTTCCTCCACTAGCTAGGGAGAGGCCATCTAAGTGGAGGAACCAGAGAAAGGAAAATCATTATTAATGTTTTGACACCCACAGAATCAAAGTAGATAGGAATTTCTTAGGACACATTCATTCAAACTACAGAAATAGGCTGCTCCATATTAATCATTGAACAATTCACCACACATTCACTCAATATGGAACATTTACTAGTGACCAGTTTCCAACAACATCAGATTCATTTGGAAACTGCACACTGTAGAAGGCAATCTTGTGATTTTCTTCTAGTTTTATATAAAAATACAAACTAGTCTAGGAGTCAGGCACAGTGGTACAAAATCATAAGCAGAAAGATCTTATCAAGGAATGTGCTCATTCCATATTGCAGAACTCCTATTTAGATTTTGGTTTTTGGAAATTTACTGCTGGCTCATTTTTGTTCAGAGAGGTTTCTTTTCTACTCCTACCCTATGCCCATTCTGCTAAAACCCAATAAATAAAGAACACCTAGGATGGATCCACATGGAACTAAAAGCCTTAATTTAACTGAGCCACATGGATCAACATAGTGGCTGCTGGCTTAATCTGCCCACTCACTCAGCCTAAAGCATTTAGGGACTGTTGGGATCTGAATTCTAGCTGGAGCTACTTAGGGCTTTTGTCTTTTTGAATCCAGTAAAAATGCTAATGTACTCTGTAAGTTCCATGTATAAAAATCTCTAACTCCATTAAGTGAAACTCAAGGGAGGGAACATGGACTGGGAACAGAAGACTGGTCATAAACCAGCCACAAGCTTCCCTTTCCTGTAAATGAGGGGATTGAGCTAGAATATCTTTGGAGTCCAACCCAGCTGACACTCAAAGACTCCCCTGAAGTTCATTTCTACCCAGGTTTGTCAGGCTGGGTCAGACAAACTTCCTTACCACTTCATGTCAACTTCAAGTGGCTGTAACATATTTCTACGGTGCAGTTTGAGGTCTCCCTCTTCTTCCTTATCCCTCAGATTGTTTGATCTCACCGGCACAGACCATTTCAGGTCTACTGGCCAAACTAATGGCTGCTGAGATTTAAAACCGAATCACTGACCTGGTGAAGACGTGGCTTTGAGCAACCTAGCCCAGGGCACAATTGTGTTTTTCATTACAAATGTTAACCAAATAGAAATATAATTGTTAGTTCTTCGACAGATCTATTTAAACTTTGCAATAGGAGATTATTCAAAAATTACATGAGAAAAATCAACCCGCACCACTAAGTCAAAGAGTTGAATATCAGAGAGTTCCAAAGCCTCAAACTCCTTATAGATGCTGATCCACAACATTTTCCTTGTGGCAACGGACTCCGTGCGAAAGTAGCCTGGTCTTGTCACATCATGTTTATGCACCAGGAAGTAGACTTCGAAAGATCGGGTGCTAATCATCACTGTCACTGCCAGACTCACTCAACTGCAGGTCATTTCCTACAAAAAGAAAACAGTCAAATCAAAAGCACAGAATTTAAAAATCAATTCCTCACAATTTGGGGGTTGACTGATTTGGCTATCACACTATAGTAAAACCTTGCTAATTTTAATTAGAGTAAAATCAATTTGGCTTACTGAAAAAACTAGTGCAGTAAAGATTTTGAAAGAAACACTATTTTTGGTATCTGATAAGCACCACAGTGCTGCTTATTAGGACAGAATGAGGAAGGGAGTGAGACAGCTTTCAAATGTGTTCATAAACAGCAAGAATATACTTGTAAATAACCTAAAAGCTACTTGGTAGAACTGTTCACATCAAGTTGCTTTATAAAAGCTAAGAAAACAACAAGTAAGGCTTCCCATTAAAGAAGCTGAATGCTGTTTATACCAGTATATCCTAATCCAGTATCCCCAATGGTATACCTTTGGTCCAGGATAGTCATATTTTAAACCTCAATTCTGATCTAGTTGGCTTTATAAAGCCAGTATTCTTTTTTGGTATACAGAATTTTTTTGTTTTTGTTTTTTTTGGTACCAGGGATCTAACTTGGGACCTTGAACTTGCGAGGCTAGCGCCAGAACCACTGAGCTAAATTCCCAGCCCATACAGAATTTTTTTAAAGTTAGGGACATTTCGAGTTAAATGTCCCAAGGTCTTCTTCTAACTTCTCACCTATGTGAGACCGGAATTTCTTCATGTACGTCAACTTATGCTGAAGATGGGCACTTTTGGCAATATTTTGAGATGTTTTTGGTTAACGGGGTTGGGTGGTGGTACGCATCTAGTGGGTAAAAGTCAGGGACTCTCTTTCACAATTTACAATGCACAGCACAGCCCCACAACAAAGATTTATCTGGCTCAAAATGTGCAAGGGCCGAAGTTAAGATTACCTTTGCCTGGTCTATAGTAGTCCACTACTAAGCTGGTTAACTAGGCTAGCTACCCTACCATAGCTGCCAGACCTTCCAACCTCCACAAAGGAAGGGATAACAGGGGAGAACATTCATCAGGGTTCCAGTGAGACAAAAGCATAATCGGACCTCTTTCCAGCTCCAAAACAAAGACACTTGTGTTCCTGTGCTCCTCTGCTCTGCTTCAGAATCAACTACATTAAAAATCACCCAAACATCCTTCTTTCCCCTCTTGTCAAAGGTTAGCAGGTCTCCAAATAGAGGCAATGCATTCTTTTTCATAGAAGACCTAGCAGCAGGGACAGTGTGGTGGCAAGTAGCACCCCTTAAACTTGGTTTATGTAAAAACAAAGAGCCCACCTGTTTTTGTTTCAGCATTTTGAAGAATTCACAAAACCGAATTTGTGCCAGTAGGAAGTGGGAAAGAGAAAAAACAGATTTTCAGTTTCGTGCATCACTTTCTTGCTGTTTGGTAACACTCCTTTCTGCTTCAAATCATCTTTGCCAAGACCCTTTCCTTACCTTAAATGCCTTCAGGTTTATAGATTTTGGCGTAAGGTTAACAGAAGCTGCACCGTGGCCCTGACTCAGCCATCGCAGTGAGAGCACACTTACTGAGGGTGTTCATGAGCTGGCTGCTTCCTTGTGGCCGGCTGGTTCCATTGGCAATGGCAGGCCTGCTGTTGTAGGGCTGCTGGTGTGACAGCTGTGGAGGAGAGGCCGGGCCATTGTCCTCGCCTCCACTGCTGGAGCTGTCATCATCACTTCCTGAGGAGCTCTCGGAGTCTGAGGAGCTGCTCCCACTGCTGCTGCTCATCTGCTCAATAATGTCAACTTCAGCCCTCAGCTCTAGAATAACATGACATGGTCATCACAGTAACTGTTTTACTGCTCTAAACAGTAAGTTGGCAAGCAATAAGGAATCATTTAAAACAAACTCCTCCTTCTCAAGTCCTTAAAAATCTTACAAGTGAAAATTAACAAAACCAACAAACAAACATACCTAACTTGTTTCCAGAGAGACAATGGAAACATGAAATTCAGCCAAAATAAACAACAGGCTGTTAGTTATCTACTTAAAAAAAAAAGATGGTGAATTATGGGACAAAATTACAAATAAGAGATGAGAAATAATATGCTAAAAGGGACAGGAAAATATGTGAGCAGAAGTTGGAAGGCCTGAACAGCTGCTTTGGATTTATCTGTAACCAACAGTGACATCCAGCCAGAAGTCAGTGCGTTTCCTAAGCCTCTGGAGAAATAAAGGGCAGACAGGCTCTGAGATCCTTCCCAGCTCTCGTGGAGGCTTGCAGGGAGAACCACGGCAAGCGAAGAAATCCAGGAGAAAATCATTCTTCTCCCCTCTTTTTTACCAGATGTAAAGTATGGAAGAAAAGACACATCTTACCTCTTTCAATGTCACAGAATACATGGGGAATACATCAAGACAGTGTCACACTTTCCTGTCTAAATATACCATGTGGCCCTGAACAGCTATGGTTGCTTGTTTTGTTTTGTTTTTTGGTACTGGGGATTGAACTCGGTCCTTTGCGCTTGCAAGGCAGGCGGCACCATTGAGCTAAATCCCCAGACCTTGTTATGGTTCCTTTAATCATAACTGGCAACAACTAACCATGCATGGGCTAATTCCTAGTTGACTGCAGTGGAAATTTCTGCAACGCCATTCTAATATCAATGAGGAAAAACAAAAACAAGCAGTGTAACAACTATGTGCAGTACAAAAAGACACTTATTTGCTAAGAGGCAGCATTTTTATAGGGTGAAAAAGGCAAACTTCCCTTTATCTTTCCCTATATTCTACTTAGCATGAATTTACTTTTGTTTCATAAAACTTATAAATACGAAACCCTCATAATTTCTAATAGTCTGGAGGACCAAAACCACCCATTGTATGGGGGAGAAAGCCTCAGCTTTGTAGTACAGAGAGCCAAGCAAAATTTCTATGTCCTGCACCGGGGATTTAGCTCAGTGGTTTCACCACCTGCTGCGCAAGCACGAGGACCTGAGTTCGATCCCCGGTACCAAAAAAAAAGAAATAAAGATTTTTATGTCCTTCTCGGTCTAAATCCATTTTCATTGCTTTCATGGCCCCCTTAATGTTTATATACTTTCTGTCAGCATAAAGCATTTGCTCATGGTATTTTAAATGACTCCTTAATCTAGATACTTCATTATCACTGCATTTGGTTTTCACTCCTAACATCCAGAGCCCTTTCCTTCTCCAAAGCCATGTGGAGCTTTAGATGCCACCTGCACCTACTGGAAGCCTGTGCCTCTGAGAATGCTGCCAGACAGCCACAACTCAAGCCACTATTCCTGGATCCACCCTTGTCAAATGAGATGAGTAGCAGAATTCCCCACCCTCACCAGCTCTGGAGCAGCAAGCTTTGAGGGGAAAAAAATTTCTTTTCGCAACACTGGGAACTGAACCCAGAGCCTCCTACACGCCAAGCAAACACTCTACCACTGAGCGACATCTCCAGCTGTTTTAAATCTTATTTTAAAGCAGTTTTGCTAAGTTGCCCGGGCTGGCCTTGAACTTATAATTCTGCCGCCCCCAAGTAGCCAGGACACAGGCATGTAATGACAGTGGAGCCCACGCTGCCACATCAAAACAGCAGCTTTGTGAGCACTACAAGAAGGGATACCATACTTCTACAATGTAGTTGTCATGGCTCCAGAAAATGTTCTCTACCTCTTTTGATGTCATCCAGCTGAGGTTCAGGCGAGGGGTTGTCCTTCAAGGGAGAAGTTCTGGGTCCAACTGGAGGCTTCGCTGCCACTCTGAGGGGCCCGGGAGGTGGGGGTGGGGGTGGGGGTGGCTGTGAAGGCTGTGAGGGCCGAGTGGGCTGCTGCTCCATCCGGGCCTGGATTTTGCTGCTCCCCTCAGCTCTGAGACGAGACAGATATTGCATCAGATGGGTAAAAACAATGGTTCTCGAACTTGTCCAGGTGACTGAGCATCCAGAGGTCTCTGGAGAACCCCAAACCCTTTCCAGATCAATGCAAAATATTAATATTTATAAATCTGAGTACTACTCATGAACACCTGTGTGTCCACTGCACTTCGGTCCTGCATTGTGAATCAGCGATGTAGAGATGATTAAAATGGCATCACTACCCGCAAGCAGCTCACATTTTCTATCAAGGAGAGAATACAGGCTGGGTATGAATCCCAGCACTCAGGAGGCTGAGGCAGGAGGATTGCCATGAGTTCAAAGCCAGCCTGGGCTACATAGCAAGACCCTGTCTTAAAAAGAAAACAACATGAAAACAAAAAAAGAGGTAATACAAGTGTAGGATCATCACTATAAGAATCCAGTTTACCAGCAGAAAATCTGACTATTTCACCTGTGTGCAATTTGAAGTTACAATCCATGGTATACAAGTTTCTGAACAAACTAGCTCCTGAAATCCTGCCCAGCTTACAAACTTTTGTTATCTGTTCACTCCTTGGTCATGGTGTCACAGGGTTCTACACCAGACAGAAAATTCTATCCCTTTGTAAGTGAACTGGCCCAGCGCTATCTTTTTTCTTCCCTCCCTCCCTCCTTTCCTTCTTTTCTTTCTTTTCAGTACTGGGAATTGAGCCCAAGACCTCGTGCATGTTAGGCAGCTGCTTGCCACTGAGCTACATCTCCAGCCCTCTTGTTTAACTTTTTTTCTTTTTTTTGAGAAAGGGTCTTGCTAAGGCTCTAACCTGCCCAGGCTGACCTTGAACTCATGATCCTCCTGCCTCACGCCTCCCAAGTAGCCGGGATTACAGGTGTGTGCCACCATGCCAGCTTCAGTGCTTCTTGAAACTTAGCATAGCACAAATCACCTACAGGTCTCTGCAGATCCTGGTCTGGTAGGTCTTGAGATTCTGCGTATCTAACAAGTACCCTGGTGATCCAATGCGGAAGTCCCCAAATCACAGTGAGTAGAAAGGAACAGTTACTGAAAGAATAACAGTAGCATCTGGTTCACTATTAGGGAATGATACCAATATATAGAGCAGCACAGTAAGAGTAAAGGCTCCACAGTACACTGCCTGGGGCAGGCCTCAGCTCTAGCACTAGAGTTCAGTTAAGTCATAACCTCTGTACTCCTCAGTCTCATCTGATCTTCTGTTTTTTTTTAAGGATAGCAGCATCTTCATAGAAGTTTCTCAGATTAGATAAGATAATGTACATAAAGACATAAAGCATACAGCAAAGTGCCTGATACATAACCTCTCAACAAATGGCAGCAGTTTTGATTTTTTTGTAGAATAAGTGAATGAATAAAAATGGCTTGAGGAAGCACCAACAGAGAAGCACCAGGTTCTAACACTTTTTAAAAAACATCAATTACTGTATTTATAATTACTATATTACAATGTGACCAATAGAACCACTTGGTTACTTCTATTAGACATGGAATGCCTATTGAATGAAATATAAAAGAAAGTTCACTATTCAAGAAAGTGGGCAGTTTTATTTTGGTATTATAGTCATCTCATGTGTACCCTATTAAGAAAGTAATGTTTTTACCCTAGTAAAGTTATTCAATGATTCTTTTGTACTTTGAGCTACATTCCTGGCATTCTTTTGTACTTCTAAGTCTATGTAAACATAAAGCTTGTCCTTTAGATGGTACTATATCAACAATGAGACTGATAAAGTTGGCTTACTTAATAAAGTAACTTGCTTTCCCCAATGACTTCCATGTTTCAGATTTTAAAAGCATTACTTCTTTTTATAACACCGAAGGAAAAGAAACATTTTGATTTGTCTGAGAAAACATAGGCGAAGTGTGTTACCAGTATCAATGGAACACTAGGGGCAAGCAGATACATCCTTATAAAACTGAAACAGATAATACAAAGGTGTAGAAACAGCATATAAGTGCTTATCTGGTTACTCACATACCTGGTCTTCTTGACCTGAATGCTGCTACTGAGTTTCTCCAGCACATATTCACCAGTGTCGTGATTAATGATAAGCACACAGTCTTTCTGATAAGGCCGTTTGTTCCCCTTGAACACAGTCATTGGTGGCGTGGATCCCTATGTGCCACAAAAGTATAAGATGATCAAACTAAACACACCAGTTATGAATATCAGTATCAAAATTGACGTTACAAATGACTCTACCTCATCAGATCTTTCATCAGAGCTACTCCAGAAAAAACAGAAAGAACTGATTTCTATTTTACATCATTCTAGTTTCCAGATAAAGAAGAAATAACAATGTAGCAAGAGGCTGGAACTGTGCACCTGGCTGTAGTAACCAAGAAAAACAGCATAAAAAACTTGAAATTACTGTACATGTTTCTAAGAAATTGGGAAAATGGCTGGGCGTGGTGCCACACGCCTATAATCCCTGCACTTGGGAGGCTGGAGCAGGAGGATCACTGAGAGTTTGAGGCCAGCCTGAACTACAAAGGAGACCCTGCCTCAAAAAAAACAAAAAAAAGAAAAGAAATTGGGAAAACATTACAAGGAATAACAAAAGTGTGAACTGAGAAAAACTATTACTTGTATTACACTAAGTAGAGAAAGCTAACAAGTGACCTCCCTATTTCTCCATAATTGGAGAGTACAGGGCTTCCCTCTCACGTCAATAACCAACAGAGAGGGCACTCTTCAAGGGCAGCTTATCGTTTGGTTTCTCACTGCAAGTACATGATGTCGAAGCCCTTCGACGACGACGACGACGACGACGACGACGACGACGACGACGACACCTGTAAGCCACCATCTGGCCTGTACCATCCACCCTGAGGCTCTGTGTGCTTCAGCAGAGGCTTCTCTTGGATCCTCAAGCTCCTTCTAGCCCTAGGCTTTAACAAAGCTTCTGCCTGCTACATCCTGACCAACTTTCTAAATTACTCAAACGTCAGATAATCTCAAAGGTTATTGCCTTTAAGGGAGCCTTCCTCGATTTTTCTAGAATAAGTGCTATATTTTCTGATATTTATTTAAACTCCTGACTAAAAGAGCCACAAAGGCAAGAAATGTGCTTATTTTGTCCAGGGTTGTATTCTTAAGTGTTCAGCAATGGCCAGTACACAGTAGTCGTTCAATAAAAATCTGTCAAATGTATGATTTAATGCCTTGTTTAGAATCAAAAACTGCCTGGCTCTTTGATTCCTTACTCATACAGTAAAAATTTAGAATTGGAAGATACCTCAGAGACCATTTATCTAACTCCTTCATTTCACATTTGGGAAACGAAGGTCCAAAGGGAGATGATGCAACCTGCCACAGGCAACAAATAATAAAACAGGGTGAACAGGCAAATAATTTTTCTGCAGCACACACATTTCCAGGTGTCTCTGCCCAGAGATTTTTCCTTCTCTCAGCAGTTCCCAAGAACTATGCTCCAGGACAGAGCTGTGAAACACAGTGACATATGCTCACTAAGCACCTTGAGTGACCCTCTGGGCTTTGTGATGAGGGCGACATCCTGAGCGGGGTTTCAAAAAAGCCTGCCAAGTGCTCGGTGCAGTTCTTCATCCCTAAATTAGCTGAATGCTCCAAACCTCTCACTCCTTCCTGAGACTATCAGCCTGCACATGACTCCTTACCAGATATCACGATGTTAATCCTACATTCCCCTGCCTTTTGACTGCCCCATGCTTGAGAGCTATTATGGTTATTTATCAGCAGAGTTGCTTGGGACAAAAGCTATGTCTAACAGTTAGGGAATCTTTACTATACAGCATACAGGGAGGAAAAATTGAAGAATCATTTTAAATCCAGTGCCTGAATAACAAACTCCACCCTATCCACTCCCTCAAATTCCTTTTTCACTTATCTTGGCACATCAGAAATCTAAATATTTTTCAACAGTAGGAAATTTGAATTGCAGTAACATAAAATATGAAGATTCATTGTGATCCTACATTAAAACCAGCAATGGAATAAACTTACAGGAATATGTGGCAGCGTAATTGTGACTTCATCTCCTTTGCCAACCTGAAGCTCTCCTTCACAGGAAGTGTCTATAGACGCTGGCTTAAAATCATCTACAAGCAAAGGAAAAGAGCATTTTCCACCAGTTACATCAGAATGAGGGCTTCTTGGGCATTTCATTCAAGAATTAAAGTTTTTGGGCCGGGGATTTAGCTCAGTGGTTTTGCCGCCTGCTGTGCAAGCTCAAGGACCCGAGTTCAATCCCCGGTACCAAAAAAAAAAAAGAATTAAAGTTTTTGTTATTCACAAAAGTGGAATAACAAAATAGAAAATAAAAATGATTTAGAATTCTTTTAAAAAACTATTTCAGTATGAAAAACTTCACATACACAAAAGTAGAGAGAGCAGAGAAAACAATGAACCCCGAGTACCTTCACCCAGTTTCAATAATGACCAAGGACACTTCCACATACAGTACTTTTCTTCCAACTTCCATTGGAAAATTTGGGAGGAAAGGCTAGAATTTATACAGCATTTTATAAAGCAAAGATACTCCCTTCTCCCAAGGGACAGATGAAATTAGTGCTTCATCATCCACAGTAAGATGTTTTATTAGGATTGTGAGGATCAAAAACAATAGAACATAAAAGAAATTCTTGATTGTAAAACCGCATATAAACATGAAAGGCCACGGCATCACAAAAGTTGATTTGGCACAGAACCTGTCAAAATTAGAATTTGCCACACCCAAGTTCCATAATGTAGACAAAGATACTTCTGCAGATATTCAGAGTAGACAGTTGAACTCTATCTCCATGGGTTCTCCTGCTAGTGTTTACGAACTGCAGTTATACGACAACACAAATAGCCATCTTCACATGAATACAACTTGCTCCAAACTGCAGGACAGGTGTGTATGTGAACTATCTCATTTAAATTCCACATTCCCTTTCACTGAAGGAAAATATCAACAATAAACTTGGGAAGTGATGGTCTTATCACATTGCCAATATCCTGTCTTTGAAAGAGCCGGCTCTGCTGTCAGCAGGAAGCACAGAAATGCATCACAAGTGACCACACAAAGATGGACGAGACTTCCTTATTTAACCCACCCTCTCCTTATGTGTTGAGTCACATCTATTAGCTCCTCTGACAAAAACAAGTCTTAACCAGTGTTAGTGCTACCAGAAACCAGAAGCTCATGAATCACTGAGGGATGCTCCGTCAACCAAATCTTTACCCAAACACAGAGTGAAGTGCCCCTTCTCAACAAAGTCTATAATCGTGTAGGAAAAGGTGCAGCATAATAACTATCTTGACATTCCTTAAGTCTGATCTTGTTTCCAAACATAGACCATGCTGTAGCCTATGCCTGACTCACAGATTTTAATTTTATTCTTCATCTATAAGGGACTTGATCCAAGTCAGGGTGGTAAAGGTGACCTCAGAAGACATCAGTGTCAAATGGGCACGGAAAAGAAGAGAAAGACTTCGATGATGCACAGAAAGCGTGTCGTTTCCTTCACTGCAGATGGGACCAACAAAAAAAAAATCAGGGTGGCCAGAACCAAGACAGAGAAGGGGGGGGGCTCACAGAGAACAGAAGAATCTTGTAAAAGTGGAGAGCCCTGATGAGATCATCAAAAAGGGGAGCGAGAGGAAGGAGGGATTCCAGGGGCAACTGGACCCCGATGAAGGAGGGAAGTTTAGCTTAAGGGCTGGGTGGGGGGATAAACTAAGAAAACGGGTGGTGCCCTTTGAAATGTTTAGGACTATAAGGCAGAAGAGCCAGGCACACCTGTGATCCCAGCATTTGGGAGGCTGAGGCAGGAGGATCGTCGGAATTTGGGGGCCTGCCTGGGGTACATAGTGAGTTCGAGGCCAACCTGAATTACAGATCAAGACCTTGTCGTAAAAAAAACAAAACAAAACAAAAGGTAGAAGAATAGTTGAGAATGACGAAAGGTTTGGTTTGGAAGGAGTGATCTAAAAAAAAATGAAGCAAAAAGGATCAGATCAAGGTTCCAGAGGTTCTGGGGTAAGATAGAAGGGAACGACGTTAGCAGGGAGTTCCCTGACTTTGGCAGGCAGAGGGATGAAAAGACTGAGCCGAGGTTGAGCTGTGGCGACTGCAGCAGCCTAAGGGAAGCGTGGAGGGCGCCGACTTACAGCGAATGGTGTGGAAGGAGGCCCGTGGCCGCTTCTCGAAGCTCTCTCCGAGGCGCAGGCAGTGTTCCTCACGGTCCAGCAGTGGGTTCACCGTCCCGTTCATGGCCCCGGATGAACGCTCTCCCCTCGCGGCCGCAGCCCCAGCTCCCGCACCGGCGTCCCGGAGGGAGCGCACCTTCAGCCCGCCCAGGGCCCACCAGGGGCCGGAAACAAGTCCGCTCCGCGTCTGGGTGCCGGAAGACTCGGAGAGAGCCAGGCCCCAGGACTTCCGGCGTCGGGCGGGACTTCCTGGTTCTTAACGGAAGTAGCCCGGGAGGCCCGCGCCAGAGAAAGCCGCCCGCCTCCGGTCAGTTCCGAGTTCTCGTGGCTCTGGGTTCCTGTGGTGGCTCCCAAATTCCACTTCCCAGGGCTAGGTCTGGCCGAGCGCTGAGCGCGCACCGCCCTACCGTACAGGTGAGCCTGAGAACTGACGGGAGCCCGGAGCGTGGCGACTAAGTTGCCGCGCGTCTGATGGCCCGAGTGGGCGGCCCTGCCGAGCCCTGGGGGCCGGTTCGGCCTAGTTTATCCCAGGTGTCCTGAGAGAGGTGGATCCCCAGGGCCTTGGCCACGCGGCTCCGGGTCCCTTCCTTCGGCCACACGTGCGAGGGACTCGGTCCCCAGAAAGCGACGCCTCCTTCGGGTTCGTGCGACAGCCTCCTGTGAGTGCGATCATACTCAGTTCGCCCAGACTTAGCGCTGTCTTTTCCGGAAAAAGCGGTGTCCGACCCTAAGGAAGCGACGAGCCCACTTTGTCTGGCAGTTGACCCCCCCACCCCGATCGACTCAGGCGGCTGTTGTGTGTATTTTCGTCCCGGGGTTTCTCAGTCAGTTCGTGGGAGTTGTGTGTTTTGGTTTTGTTTTTTTCCAAACTGAGAGGATTTATTGTAATAGTTGACCAGTTCTAGTTTGTAGCAGAGTTCAGTGCATGAGGCAGATCTAGCCGCTGAATGTAAGCTAGGGGCTTGTGACCTACTCGGTCTTTGTGACCTTTCTTCCTGTTGGGTTTTGTGTACTGCTATATGGCATCTCATGTTTGGTGACCTGAACCCAGCGTCTTTATTATGGAACGACTAGGCCAGCGTCTTAAGAAACTATCCTAGAACCACTACTTCTGTGTTCTCAAGAACTCTTCTAGAACCACTGACCAGAATCTCATTCTTTGTTTCTGCAAGGCACCTGTGTTGCTAACATGTGAAAATTACCTGAAAAAAAAAAGCCGAGAGAAAACCCTGGGTCCTCAGTGTCAGCATGGATTTCTCCTATTGTTGGGGGGTGGAGAATCATCAGCAGCGTTAAATGTATTACCACCCACTTTTGAGATGGCTTCCTTGCAAAGAAAAGGACTGCAAGCAAAGATTCTTACCTCTGAAGAAAAAGAGAAACTGAAAAGTGAACAAGCTTTGGTGTCTGGTTTTAAACAGCAAAAACTGGAAAACGAGGCCCAGAAGAACTGGGATCTTTTTTACAAAAGAAATAGTACCAATTTTTTCAAAGACAGACACTGGACCACCAGAGAGTTTGAGGAGCTAAAATCATGTAGGGAGGTAAGCTGATACTTATCCTGAGCTGTTCTTTATTTAAAATGTATAGAAGAGAGATGCTTTATTACATTCCTGTAGGGAATGTGAAATAGAGAATTTATGAAGCCCCTTAAAATCTTTTGTACCTTTGCAGAGAAATACACTGCTCAAGTAATTTTAGCAGTTTCTGGGTTGTTTAATACATAGGAGAGGGCAAGAAAAGAAAATAATACATAGGAGAGAAAACGTTAGTGGTCTTTTTGTATTTTTTTTAAAGCTAATCTGAAAGTTGTAAATATTAAATATTCATACTCTGAACTTGAGTGACATACTGAAATAATAGTAGTGTTAGACCCAGCGAGAGAGAACCAACCAGAGACCGATATTAAATCCACACAGGAGTTTATTACCGGCCGGGACCAGGACTGGAGCCCTGATTGGGGGGGGGCGGACGGACGGACGAGACACCTGTTTTATACACCTTTGAGGCCAACAGTTTCTAGGCCCCCCTATGGGATAGAACTAGCAAAGGAAGCCAGAAGGTACGGAAGCGGAACGACCTGCTCTTAGAACATTTATAAAACAATAGTTGATTAATTGTTATTTCTAAAGGGACCATTTAAGGGGAGGAGGTTTCTAAGCTTCCTCCTTCTGAGTTCATCTAAAGGACAGGCAGGTGGGTCAAGCAGCAGTGTGCAGTTTGTCTTGCTAACTAGGATCCTTCAGTAGTAGTTAATGTTAATGAACTATTTACCGTGGCCTTTTCCTATGAACTTTACACATGTCCTCTCATTCAAGCTTTATAGGCAGGAACTCTATGAAGTGTGTTAGTATTGTCCTCATTTGCAGGGGAAACTGAAGCCCAGACGTGTTTGAGTGTTTTTCCCAAGTATAGACTCCCTAGGCAGAAGAGGAGTTGGGCTTTGTGTGCAGGTTTGCTCCAGAATCTCTTCAGTTAGCTGGTATGCTAGTTTTGTCCTCCACACTGAACTGTCCAGTGTCGCATGATGATAAATGAAGTACCAGTATTGACTTTTGCTTGTGAATTCTCTTGTTTGTCTGCTCTGCTGGGTCAGAGACTTTGTCTCTTACATTCTGGATGTTTTCATTATGCATATATAATGTACTGTAATTTGGGATCCCTTTCCTCAGTTTGAAGGTCAAAAATTGACTATTCTTGAAGCTGGCTGTGGAGTTGGGAACTGTTTATTCCCGCTTTTAGAGGAAGATTTGAGTATCTTTGCCTATGCCTGTGATTTTTCTCCAAGAGCGGTCGAATATGTTAAGGTTGGTATACCATCTATGTATTTTATTTTATATTTCTATTTTCTTAGATTTGTTCAACCTGCCCTCTACCCATTTTCCTAATTCTAGTCCTCTCCGTGGAGCTAACCAACCAAAATCACTGCAAGCGTAATTTTCCATGTCCAGCACGGAGAAACACAGCTTTAATCAAGCAAAGTAGGGAAAAGTACCATAATAATACCCTATACTTTACACTTTTTGCTTTATAGAATTGTCTTTACTGAACTATTTTACACATCAAGACTCACTCCTAAGTATGTGTGTTACACATCTCCCCCTAAAATAAGGCCTTTTTGTATATAACCACAATTAGCTTATCATACCTGATAAACTTAACTGGATTCCTCTTAGTACCCATGCTAGATTCAGATTTTTCCAAGTAGTTCCTGATGTCTTTTCAGCTGTTTTTCAATCCAATTAAAGACTGTCTTTTACACTTCCCTTATGTCATTTAAATCTTTTTAGCTTAAAATACTCCTGTCCTGTCCCTTACCTTTTTTCCCACTGATGCTGAGTTTTAGAAGACTTCAAGTCCACTTTCTGTATTAAAGTCCCACATTCCAAATTGGTCTGATCGTTTCTTTGTTATTATTTAATTTGTCCCTCAATTTCTGTATTTTCCATAAATTAAAATTTAGACTTTGGGCCAGGGATTTAGCTCAGTGGTTTCACCACCTGCTGCGCAAGCTCAAGGACCCCAATTCAATCCTAGGTACCCAAAAAAAAATCTAGACTTAAATAAAATATTTTTGGCAAATATTTTGATAGGTGATATTTTATCTTGCTTGTTTGTATCCTGTCAAGAGGCATTAATGCCCAGTGATCTCACAAATGTGATACTAGTTTTAATCACTGGATTAAAGTAGCACCTGTCTTAATTCTTCCATTGTAAAAATATTTCTTTTTTAAAAAAAAAGTATTTTTTTTTGCCATTAACAAATTTGTGGGGAATACCTTGACAACCTGCCAATATCGTTCCCCATCAACTTTCAGACTTTTTTTAAGCAGTGATAGTATCACATTTAGTATAACTTGATTTGAGTACTCTACATTATTATTACATCTTGCAGTCTTTCATGTAAGTGCATTAGCATCACCACATTATATTTAGCATGTTGTAATATTCCATAGAGTGCATGTGTCATTTCTCATTTCTAGTTTCTTGCTCTTACAGATGGGATTAGTGTGACCCACATAATCCACATGCTTCCAAAATGTGTGTACATATTTCTCTCTAATGAATATAATGGAAGAAGTAGAATTCTTTGGAAGAAGAGCATATACATTTAAATTTTCAGATAATACCAAGTTTCCTTCTCAAAAGATGATATCAATTTATGATTTCTCTAGTGTCTCCATATTTTGTTTTTTGCTTATTAACAAATGTTAAAGACCTTCTAGTATGTAAAATACACATTACTTTATGTCTTTATGAGTTCTTTACATGTGTTTACTGACATGTGCTGGTTAGTACTTTGAGCACTCAGGCTAAACTGTAAAAAATGACAAAACCCCTCTGTGGAGCTTATCATAAGAATTGTCTTTTCATAGCTTTTGCCCATCTTTCTGTTGGTTTGTGCTTTTCTTATTCTTAGAATGTATTCTGGAAGAGTCTGATGTATATATTGCGAACATTTCTTCCACTTTATTCAGTAATTGTTTATGGTAGCACTTTTCTCCCACAGAATTTCAAACTAAGGTTTTATGGTTAATTTAGTTCTTAATTAGACATAATCACCTACATATTTTTGTAAGTTTGTTATTTTTTAAGTTAATCTGGAAAAAATTAGTTATTATTTCTTCAGATAATATCTAATTCTCATTTGCTCTTCTCTCTCTGGTATTCCAGTTACATATGTAGTTACCATTTACTGTTTTGTCCCACAATTCTTTTTTTTTCTTTTTTCCGGTACTGGGGATTTAACTCAGGACCTTGTGCTTTTGAGGCAGGTGCCGCACCACTGAGCTAAATCCCCAGCCCTTGTTCTACAATTCTTAAATGTTTATGGTTTCTTCCTCTCACGGTTTTGCACTGAGCTGTATCCCAGCCCTTTTTATTCTGAGACACAGTCTTGCTAAGTCACCCAGGCGGGGCTTGAATTTTCAGTCCTCCTGCCTCAGCCTCCCAGAGTACTGGGATTACAGATGTGTACCGCAGCACCCAGCACTCCCCTGTTGTTGCGCTGTGCAGTGGGCCTGTGTGTCAAGGGCGTGGGCTTCACAGGTGTTTCTACTTCTCTGAAAATAGACCTTTTCTTGCCCATCCCTTTCCTAGCTGCAGGATCTATACCACCCTCCCCTCAGTGATCCTGAAGCTATTCTTTCTGCAAACTGATGGGGTTTGGCCTGCGTAGTTTTTCTTCCTGCAGCTGTAGTGGTATCACCAGTGCCCTTAGGTTACAGCCCACAGATAACTTTTCCACTGCAGATTCAGCCTTTTCTCCCTTAAAGGATGTGATAAAAGCTAGCACCAGAAAGAGCACTATTCTCTCTGTGAGAGCCTGGCAGTATTCTTGGTGGAGACAGCTTCGGAGGACTGGGAACAGCCCTATTATTTCACCCTACTCACTCTTGGTCTCCAGCAATTTGTCAGATTTCTACTTTTATCTTTTCAGTTTGGAGGCATCTGCCTCAGTAACAAATGTTTGGGCCTTATGTCTCCCTGAAGACACTTGTCTTTTTCCAGATTTAGGATGATAGGTTCTGTAATCTTTTTTTATGAGTTCACAACACCACCCCCCAAAGTTACTATTTTGCTGTCTTCCTAGTTATTTTATTGTTGTAAGAATGGGACTTATATTTTTCCACATCTGTTTGTTTCTGAGCCAAAACTGAAAGTCTGTCAGTATATTTGGGTAGCCAGTTGTCAGAACACAGAAAATTATGTGAATTGTCACCTTCATTATCTGCCTTTTTACTAGTTGTCTTTTGTCTTTTATTAGTCATATAAAATACTAAATTCACACAGGTCTGTTTTGGGACTGTTCTATCTCAAAGTGAG